TTCCAGTTTTAGTATATGTGCTGCTAAAGCAAGCCTTTTTATTATTCTTAACTCCTTAGTTATATGGCAATGTATAGAACAAGCATTTTTAGGTTGCATGCGGTGGCTCACACCTGTAATCCCAGCATTTTGGGAGGCCGAGGTGGGTGGACCACCTGAGGTCAGGAGTTTGAGACCAGCTTTGCCAACATGGTGAAAACCTGTCTCTAATAAAAATACAAAAATTAGATTGGCATGGTGGCAGGCACTTGTAATCCCAGCTGCTTGGGAGGCTGTGGCAGGAGAACTGCTCGAACACGAGAGGCAGAGGTTGCAGTGAGCCGAGATCATGCCATTGCACTCCAACCTGGGTGACAAGAGCAAATCTCTGTTTCAAAACAAACAAACAAACAAACAAACCTCTAAAGCTAGGTAAGGCAATGAGGATGAGCAGCAGAGGAAGGATTAAAGTGTGTTAGGCAAATGGAAGTTACAGGATTTGGTTCTGGATAGGAGTTAAGGATGATACCCATTATAATCAATATTGGCCAATGAGTTAGCCAGTTAATATAGCCAACTGGGATAGGTCACCTAGCACATGGATATGAAGAAGAAGTTAGCGATTACCAGAACTGATTGAATTCACCTGACCAGAGGCTTATCAGAGAGTCACCATTATCCACCTGTAGGTCCAAGAAACAGTCTCAAGGCACTCAAGTTCCTGTTCTTTTCGAGGCTAAGATGTGAAAACCGATTGTAAAGGTGACACTTTTTAAGGAAAAACTAGCAGAATATGTCCCACATTTCATACATATCTCTATTGCCTTCAAAGGATATTAAAACCCAATACTGGGTAAGAGAGTTTGGTTTCCTGCGTAGGTGCACACCTCTGCACGTGGCTGTGCATTTTATGTGGAAGCTAAGCAATTAGTCTTAGAATCTCTTTGGTTGTCAAGGGATGTACTTTTTTTTTGCTAATCTGAAAATATGTTTCCTTCTACAGGAGTATTTTCCATTTTTTTGAAGTTTTAAGTTAATTTTAATATATTTTCCTTTTATTAATTAATTCATGAAATAATTATTTACTACTTACCATGTTCCAGCCTCTGTGCTAGGTACTAGTAAGACATTGATGAATAAAATGAACACAATCCTTTTCCTTAGGGAATTCATACATATAAACATTTAACTCTACAAAGATTAAACATGTAATTATATAAAGCTTTACAATTACACATATAATTATATGAAGATTTGTAATTATATAGCCAGGCATGGTGACTTGCACCTGTAGTCCTACCTACTTGGGAGGCTGAGGTGGGAGGATCACCTGAGCCCATGAGGTCAAGGCTGCAGTACGTTATGCTCATGCCTGTGAGTAATCACTGCTCTCCAGCCTGGGCAACATAGTGAGATCCTATCTTTTAAAAATAAATAAATAAATATTTTAAATTTTATAACTGTCATTGATAAAACCTATAAAGAAAAAAATATGTAATATGTTGGGGGTTTATCCTGATCTGGGGAGTGGGATAGAGAAGATTTCCTGGGGAACTGACATTTAAGTTGGGACTTGATCTATAGAGGGAGTTGGAGGGAGCCAAATAAATAGGAATGAGGGGATAAGGGGCTATAAAGTACATCCAAAGGGATTTTAAAGGAAGCGATGGTACAAGTTTTCACTTTGGAGAGCCATAGGAAGATTTGTGCAAGAAGAGATGGAAACTAAAGCAACAACAGTAGTATATTTATGGCTTTGTAATCAAAGTTGATGATATTGGATTTCACTGTAAGAGAAATGATAAGGATTTGAAGAATTTTAAGCTGGAAAGTGAAATGGGTAGATCTGTGTTTTCAGCAAGTTCTGTGGAGAATGGATAACAAGGAAGCAAACTGGAAACAGGGTTACCTCTTAGGGGATGATGATGCCTTGAATTCAAAAGTGGAAATGGGTGTGGAGATAAGTGAATGGATTTAAGAAACATTTGAGAGGTAGAAAGAGGTAGAATTGATAGAACCTGGTGATTAATTGAAGAGCCCTTATAAACCTAGGGTGCGATGTGGTCTGGTTTTAGCACAGTATTACATCAAAATAAATATTGTTTAAGCAGAAATATATAATTGAAAGCATTTCAGAGATTTAGGCTCTTGAGGAAACAGCAAATGCCTTGTTGGTATTATTATTTTTCTTTTTGATTTTTTGAGACAGGGTCTCATTCTCTTACCTAGGTTGGAGTGTAATGGCATGATCATGGCTCACTGCAGCCTCAACCTCCCAGGCTCTGGTGATTCTCTCACCTCAGTCTCCTGAGTAGCTGGGACTACAGGTGCATGCCACTATGCCTGGATAATTTTTTTTTTGTTTTTTGTTTTTTTAGAAATGGGGTTTCACCATGTTGGCCAGGCTGGTCTTGAACTGCTGGGCTCAAGTGATCCACCTGCCTCAGCCTCTCAAAGTGCTGCGATTACAGGCTTGAGCCACCATGCCCTGCTGGTGGTATTATTTTTAATGCACAGCGAAACTTTTTTAAATAATCTTCTTTGGCCATCTCTCTCATTCTCAATGCCTTTCATATACTTAGGAAGAAGCTAAAATACAAAACTCTCCCCTCCTTTCCTATGTGTGTTCTCAAACATTCCCTTGTATCCATCTGAAGCTCCTCATTCCTCAGCATTCTGCTCCTCATTCTACCTCAGCTCTTCATGATCAGGGTTTATCTAACCTTTCTGGCTTCTTAAAGCCTTCTCTCTTTGCTCAGTGTTCAGACTTTGCTCAAGAGAGAAGAGCTCCAAAACCAGTTCAGCAAGCAACAGGAGCATGGAGAGAGACTGCAGATATCTGACTGTTCTTGTCATTGTTTCTCTGCCACAGTTAAATGTGTTCTATGAAGAAGAGAAGTGGATATGTTCTAGCTTTGAGCAAATGAGTAGATGAGGGTCCATTTGTGGAGACAGGAAACATAGGAAAAGTGTTTTTGAGGAAAACTTGAGATCACGTAAACGTTTCGAGTCTAGGCTGCCTTTTAAATGGTCTAGAGACATTGTCCGGAGAATTGTGTGCCTGGAACCGTCTTGTTCTGGAGTGTGAGGCACTTGTTAAATTCTCAGGAATTGTAAACATGGGCATTGTTAAAAAGTGACTGTATAAATATATGATTAAATAAAAAATAATTGTTAAATATACAATTAAATAAAAAATAATTGTATAAATATACAATTAAATTACAATGAAAACAAAGATAATAAATACTCAAAACTCATCTCTATCTACATTTTACTACTATCTGTGCTCTTAAAGTTACTTAAGTCTGCTGTGCCTGCATGGTGGAAATAGCATAAAATAACTTGCTACTGCACCTTCCTTGGCATCACTGATGTTAGATTGGTATCTGGAAATTGGCCATATTTGGAGTAAACTACAGAGATTGGCAAATACTATGAATCAAGGCCTTCTCTTCCCTCCTAAAAGCCAGCAGTTAAACATTTATCACCACATCTTATCCAAGAGACATCTGGATAAATGAATCTAAGCTCAGGAGACAAATTCGGGCTGGAGATACCACAGTGGGAGGCATAGACTTGATGTGGGGAGCTTCATGGGCTGGCGACGGGGTCCCATATCAAGAAAGACCCCATGATTGGTTTAATGCTCTGCTGTTGCTATCATCAAAGTCTTAATTTTTGAATAAGAGGCCACACATTTTCATTTTACACTGGGTTAATATAGATGATAGGGAATTTTAGGCTGTTTGGGGAGGGGGTTACTTAATTGCCTTCTGTTCTACATAACAAGTATTTTATCTTACTCACCTATGTGGTTGCACATTTTCACAGATTTTTTTCCCCATCTATCCCTCATCCTGTGTATTCTCCACAACCAGCTCACAAAATTTCCCTTGTCTATTTCCTCCCTGTATTGTTCTCTTTGGCCTTCTTTTGAAACTTGTTAACTTTTTTTTTTTTAACTTTTATTTTAGGTTCGGGGTACATGTGCAGGTTTGTTATATAGGCAACCCGTGTCACGGGGGTTTGTTGTACAGATTATTTCATCGCTTAGGTACTAAGCCTAGTACTCAATAATTATTTTTTCTGCTCCTCTCCCTCCTTCCATGCTCCACCCTCAACTAGGCCCCAGTGTCTGTTGTTCCCTTCTTTGTGTCCATGAGTTTTCCGCATTTAGCTCCTACTTATATGAGAACATGTGGGTATTTGGTTTTATGTTCCTGCATTTGAAAACTGTTAACTTTCAAAGCATTAATGTATTACATGGCTTTAATAAAAGTGTTTCTTCAGAACAGAAATCTCGAAGGGAAAAAAATGTTTCTCTCCAGATTGCAATGTCCCACACATTCATCTTTCACAGTGGTACGACAGTGGTTACGGAGCTTGTGGAATAAGACAGAACTGGGTTTGAACTCTCTCCCTCTCTCTTTCGTTTTCTAATCCTTAGAACCTGCGAATGGGTTTGAACTCCTGTGTGTGACCCGAGGTAAATTTCTTTGATTTCTCTACCCTTCCGTTTCCTCATCTGAGGAAAGAATAATGTTTACCTCTGAAGGTTATTGTAAATATTAAATTAGATAACCTACATAAAGTGCCTTACATAATACCTGGTCCATGGTTATAGTGTTCAATTAATGGCAGTTATTCTTTTTATTCATACATGACGAGTTAGGAACACCCAGTAATTTGGATCTGACACATGGTAGAAAAGTCTTAGGAGGAATGATGGACACTGGCAGAGATGAGCTGCAAGATTTCGACTCTTTAAACATTTTCCTGGTGCCACAATATGTATGTCCCAGACTGGACTGGACAAAGCGACTCTTTACTGGGGCTCTTACTATTCTCACAACTCCTCTCCCTTGTTATTCCTCAGACAGAGCTAACAATCTACACAAATAGCACAGATGTGGGCTCTTGGACAGCCAGTCAGACATTTAGCCTTCTTGCGGCAGTGAAAAATCCTTTCCCTGGCGTAAAGCTTGGCACAGCGTAGGCACTCAAAATTTTTATTTTTATTTTTTTGGCATATGAAAATTTATTACTACGGTGTGTTCACCATTAAAATTTATGATCTTGGTCTTTCCTTCTTGCCTTTGTATAGGGCCAGAAGAGACACATTGGCCACTTTGACAATCTTAAAGCGGACTCCAGGAATATCACCAACAGCATGACCTTTGCGACCAAATCTAGCAACCAGAACTTCATCGTTTTCCTCAATAAAGTTCAAGCAAACGTCGTTGGGTACAGAGGCTGTGATTTTCTTGCCATTTTTGATCAGCTGGACCCTGACACACTTCCTAATGGCAGAATTTGGCTGTTTGGCTTCAACTCCTACTTTTTCCAGGACGATTCCTTTTGCATGAGAAGCACCTCCAAAAGGGCTGGCTTTCAGGGCTGTGCCCAAATGTGTGCGGCACTCAAAATTTTGTAGGTTTTCTTTTTCACCGCCGTGGCCCCAACTAGTACAGGGCCTGGCACACAGCAGGCGTCCATTTATTGAATGAGCGCATGATAATGTCACCTGTTTCTCCCTCTTCCTCCAAATCCCTGTTCTTCCGCCTCTGCCCGAGGCAGCCAGCATATCCCAGGGAGCCAGGCTCAAGTCAGGCCTGGTTCACCGACTTGCTCCCCGCGCTAGGCTGCGGTTGCTATGGAAACAGCGGGAAATAACAACTCCGTTCCCCCTGGGGTGAGGGAGGCCCGCTGAGGTGACAGCAGCTGGAGGAACAGCGTGAGCGACGCGAGGCCGCCGCAGAGTTCACCACTGTGCCACAGCCCCGCCCCAGCGTGGCCGGCGCCCGAACTCCCCTCCCCTCTCTAGCACGCGAGCGTAGGTAGGTACTACCGCGGAGGGCATCTCCCCGGCCCGCCTCCCCAACCAGGGCCCCGCTTGCGCGATGCCTGCTGTGTTCACGTGATGCGCACCCGCGCTTCGCCGCCAGGCGGCGCTGACCATTGGGGAGGGGGTTAGGGGTCCTAGACGCGCGAGTCTTCCCTCTATTTCTCATTCATTCATTCATTCATTCACTTACATTTATTTTTCCCTTCCTTCCTTCCCTCTGTCCTTCTGGGATGAGCTATTGCTGTGTTGCTCAGGTTGATCTCAAACTCCCGGGCTCAAGTGAGCCTCTTGCCTCAGTTTCCCAAAATGCTGGGATTACAGGCATGAGTCACCGTACCCGGACACAGTCTCTTGCTCTCTCTTTCTCTCTCTCTCTCTCTCTCTCTCCTTTTTCAGACGGGGTCTTGCTGTGTCGCCCAGGCTGGAGTGCAGTGGCAAAATCATAGGTTACTGCAGCCTCGACCTCCTGGGCTCAAGTGATCCTCCCGCCTCAGCCTCCGACCCACCTACTTTTTTTTTTTTTTTTTAAATTATAGAGACTGGGTCAGGCTGGTCTCAAACTCCTTGCCTCAAGCGATCACAGACGCATCATAGAGACGGGGGTTTCCCTGTGTTTCCCAGGCTGGTCTAGAACTCCTGGTCTTAGGCAATCCTCCCGCCTCAGCCCCTCAAAGTACTGGAATTTGCAGGAGTAAGCCACCGCGCCTGGCTTTGCACATTTATCTTCCAGCAAATAAAAACCTGGGCAACTACAGCCAGGAACTTAATTGCTTTAATTTGGGAGAAAGCAGGAGATTGAGGGGTAAGGGTGCAAGAAGAGAGAAAAGAAAAATTAGGCTGTTTGGAAAGGGTAGCACAGATATGAGAAATTGGGTTTCACCATATTAATGTCTGTGTGTGTGTGTGTGTGTGTGTGTGTGTGTGTGTGTGTGTGTGTGTGTGTCTCCTCCTCTCTCCTTCCCTCACTCGGGGTGCCTGCCCCAAGCTCCCGCGCGGTTCCTGCTCCTGCTCCGAGGAGGTCCACCTTCATTTTGCCGGTAGCTGGTGAACCAGGTGTGGTGCGCGCACTGCGGGCCCTGATTGGTTGTGCACGCCACGGTGAAAAACTTGAACGTCTACTCCGAGTCCTGCAGCTCCTAGTGTCTCCGCGGGGTGGACGCCAGGCGCACGGCCGTTACTTCTCTTTACCTGTGGATTCGTCAGTTTCTCGTTCGTTTCAGGAGGCGATCCCGCGCCCTGGGTGCTGTGAGGCCTCTGGGGAAGCGGAGGTGCCTCCCGGCGCGGAGCAGCCAGCTGAGGCTGTGGCCAGCGGGGAAGATGAGCGGCAGCAGCGCCAGGTCCAGCCACCTGTCTCAGCCCGTCGTGAAGAGCGTGCTTGTGTACCGCAACGGGGACCCCTTCTTTGCGGGGCGCCGCGTCGTCATCCATGAGAAGAAGGTGTCCAGCTTCGACGTCTTCCTGAAGGAGGTGACCGGCGGCGTTCAGGCACCCTTTGGGGCCGTCAGGAACATCTACACCCCGCGGACTGGCCACCGCATCCGGAAGCTAGACCAGATCCAGAGCGGGGGCAACTACGTGGCTGGAGGCCAGGAAGCCTTCAAGAAACTCAAGTGAGTCGTTCTTCCCCACCGCCCACCCATTTCAGGTGCCCTGTCGTGCGAGCTTGATATGAGGAAATGCAGATCTTTACCCCCCCACACCTCGGTGGTTGAGGGGCTGTGACTTCTCGGTGTGACTGATGCCACCCAAAACTCTCGTTGCAGTTGGGGGGCAGAGATTGACACTGTGACTGGAGAAGGAATTTCACTTGGGTAACAGTAGGAGTAAACTTAAAATTTGTGTATAAACAACAGGAATCTTAAAAAAAATTATCCTTGCAAAGGTTAGTGACCAAACTGATACTTTTGCGTTTTCTGTTCAGTTTTTTCTTTCCTTTTCCTTATTTTTTTTCTTGGAACTCCATCCTTTTAATTTAAATAAACATTCTTAAAAATCACTTCCAAGTGTTGGACACTATATTGTCACCAGAGGAGAAAATTGCTCTGCATTTCCCATACTGTTTAAATTATTTCAACCCTTCATTCCAAGTAGAATTGACACCACTTACTTTTGTGACCCTGCTCCACCCCCTGCATGTTTATGCTGTTAGCCTAATGCAGGAAGAGTTTACTGGCTAACTGTATTTGTCGACTTCCTGTCTCCAGCAATGGTCCTTATTCCCAGGGGTCCTTATTCCCAGCTCTTGAGTTCACTCATAGTAAGTGTTCAGTGAATTAAGAAACCCTCAATTCAGGGAACAAAGACGAGCAAGGCATGATTCCTTGTCTTTAGGAGCTTTCAATCTAACTGGACTACCTGCATACTAACAATTTTAATGCAAGGTACAAAGAGATACGTGCAATTAGAAAAATAAGGTTATGTGTGAATTGTGAGTTGAGAGTTGGTTGGGGTGGGCATTATAGGACAGGTAGAATTTTACATTCCATTTTTTTTTAATAGCTTTATTGAGATAGAGTTATCACAGCATAAAATCCAACCATTTCATTGGCTTTCAGCGTATTCAGAGTTGTGCAACCATCACCACCAACTAATTGTAGTTTATTTCCAGCCCTCCCGCCAAAACATTTGTACCTCCCAGATTCCTCTTTCCCCTGTCATCTGGTAGCCACTAATCTATTTTCTGAATCTATGGATTTGTCTATTCTGGACATATCATATAAATGGAATCATACTATATATGGTCTTTATGTCTGGCTTATTTCACTTAACTGTAATATTTTCAAGGTTCATCCATGTTGTAGCATGCATCAGTACTTCATTCTTTTTATTGTTGAATCATGATTTGGGTATACTACCTTTTACATCCATGCTTATCCATTAATCACTTGATGTATATTTGGACTGTTTTACATTTTAGCTATTATGAATAATGCATCTATGAATATTTGTGTACAAGTTATCATTTCTCTTTGGTGTATACCTAAGAATGAAATTGCTGGATCATATGGTAACTCTGTATTCCATAGTTTAATAGAACATTTTAATTGAAATTCATCTTGGGCCCCAGGATAGCAAAAAGCCTTGACCATAAATCTAAGCTTATGAATTCATAAGCATTATTGGATTCTTAATAATTAAAATTCAAATAAAGATTTTTAACTACATAGAAATATTTTTCAAAATATCACTAAAGTTCTTGAATGTAATCCATCCTCACCTATATTTGTTTAAATTGAGTTCTAGGTATTCTGTTATACTTTTTGTTATGTCAGACATTCTTTTCATGGAAAGTGAGGGATATATTTGGATTTATTCCCCCACTCCCAAGCTTCTTAAGCATGCTTTGTTAAACTTCATAAAAAAGGGCTAAATGAAACTGCATGCTTAAAATAAACTTAAAATCAGGAGACTGAAGACTTAGTTGCTGATCAACTCTGTGTCCTTGGACAAGTCACTTGACTCAGCTAGTCAGTTTTTTAATACAGAAAAGGTACATAACCATTTGTACTACACAGGGCTGTGATAAAAGTAAATGCTATAGATGAGTGTGTTTTGTAAACACCAAGGTTTACATAAATGTAAGACACCTCTATGACCAGTTCCTTTTGTTACATACTTTATTTTTTTTTAGATATTTCCATATAAAGCAATTTCATGGAAATGAAAATCTGGTTCAGAATCTCTGAACGGTTGAAAGTTGTAGACTCACTTTTATAATTCATGTTCTTTTGTTTATTTGGTCCTACCAACTCACAAGATTTAAAAAAAAAAAGATACAGTTCCACACCAAATAGAAAGTGTACTCAAATCTCTCTAAGAGATTTGCATGTTATTTTTGCTTTTAGTTTATACATAAAAAACTGAATTTGTTATAACAGTGTCCATGGTTAGGTTTCCATGCTGACAGATGACTATTTTATTTGTGTTAAAGAAGTACTATCTATGATTATAATGATAGAAGCCAAGAATACTTGAATGTTGAATGTATTTGAAACTTAGCACTTGTAAGTTTATGTAATGAATGGAGAAACTGTCAGAACAAAAGAAAGCCCAAATGATGTTAAGGACAATTCGTGGGCTTTCATTTAGACCCCAAATGATGTTGGGAAAGACAGCAACATCTTTTTCAAGTGGAACTGATCAAATCTCTGCTTGAATTGCTTTCACTTAGATTTTTCTAATATTTTTGAAATGATAACTAAAGGTCAGGTAGCTCTTAAACCCTTATTTATTTCAAATGTGAGACCACACATTCAAAACCTTTATTTTATAGCAGAGAATTCTAGAGATTATTTTCCTCAAAACTTTCCTAGTGCCTTGTTGGAAGTTGACTCTACAGCCTTAATCTTGTAGATCTGAAACCACTTTCCTGCACATGACAGAATATTTTGGTATTATTTCAAAACTCCGTCGCTGCAGTTCCACAAAAGACCCATTTTGTTGCTGAGATGGAGTGTTTGCACTGTTTTAAAATATATGACTACTTTTATATAGGGGCAATGTATGACAATTTCTGGATGTATCAATTAACTAAAGTATTTTATCCAAAAAGGCAAACAGCAACAATAAAAACATTTCAATAGCCAAAATTAATTCTAACATAAGCTTTTTTTGGGACAAGTTGGCAATTATAGTAGTTGAGGTAAAGGGTCGATCTATTATTATAAATTAAATGTTAGGTTTATATTTTTAATATTAAAATGTTTATTTAGCACATTTTATGTATGAAGCACAGTTTAGGGACCATTTAAAACTGGAACCACAGCACAGTGATATTATACGTGAAGTTGACAAAGGTATACAATTTCAGGTTGTGCTTATGCGACAGCTAAAGAATGATCACTGTCAATATCTAGAGCAAATAGTAATGGAGTAATAGGGGTCTCCAGAGGTTAATTAGTCCACCCATCTGTTTCTGAGCTGAACCAATTACCAAAGTCATCCCACATGACTGAGTGTTTTTGTATCATTAAGGTGCTCTCATAGAGAAAATAATTTCTCAGCCTTTCCCAGTTCGTTACCTGAATGCATGCTATCAGTACTTCCTTTGACCTAAAGCCTGTATTTAATGGAACAGTTAAGCAGCTTTGCACATAAGCCACTCTTTTAAAAAA